TCTTGTCACTCCCATCATCTATCTTGTCACTCCCCATCATCTATCTTGTCACTCCCATCACCTATCTTGTCACTCCCCATCATCTATCTTGTCACTCCCCATCATCTATCTTGCCACTCCCATCATCTATCTTGTCACTCCCATCATCTATCTTTGCACTCCCATCATCTATCTTGGCACTCCCATTTACTAAATTGTCTCTCCCATCATCTAACTTGTCACTCCCATTAACTAACTTGTCACTTTTATCAGCAAACTTGTCACTCTGACTTTGATTAACAAAGTTGTCTCTCCCATAAACCGTCTTGTCACTCCCATAAACAGAGTTATCATAATTTAGACTCCGACATGAAACATCGCCAGAAGAGACCGTCTTCGTCTCTGTCACGTCCGCCTTGCTCGTTCTGTCATCGGCGCCATGTTGTCTTCCCCGCTGTATTGAGGACGCGAACCGCCCCACTGTGCTGCGGTTGGTGGATGAGGTCTCGGACACTTCGAGACCAAGGGCGCCACGGTAGAGTCGAGCGACTCGCTCGTTGCACACGTAGGACAGGAACAGGAAAGCGCCTTGGGAGCCATTCAGCAAGATGGCCGCCAGTCTGTGGAAATCATCGAAACACGACCAACTTAAACAACGTTCTTTTGCTTGTTTTGTTGGCATTATCGTCATTTTTTTGTTTTAGTTTCTGTCTGGTTTTTTGTTTTCTTGCAAAGGGATGGGGTGGTGTTTTAGGGGTGGGGAGTGATTGCCCAATGAGACATACATAAGTGTATCTTTGTTGCGAATATGGGCTCTAGTTTGGTCCACTGGGGAAAAAAAGTAAAGAAAAAGTTATGATGGGGTCTTTCTGATGGAACGTACATCTGCTTTAAAGGCCACCTGTGCAAGACAATCACTTGTGCAAACGACGTATCGCACTTTTCCAATCGCGCTGCACATTAATATTTAACCAACACTGACGTTCATCAACTGAATCTAATGGAAATTGACTGGACACACCTTGACAAAACCGAAAACAAATATTACCCACCAAGCTTTAAGATTAAATCGACAAGGAAATACATGTAGAAAGAAATGAAGGCTTAAAAGTACTTGGAGGAGGGACTTAGGTTCGGACTTAATGGAGGAAAAATGTAATAATAATAATAATAATAATAATAATAATAATAATAATAATAAT